AGCACATAGCTTGGACATGCCTGACATATGGACCTTGACAATGCAGTGGTTATGCTTTACACGTGCTATCAGCATTTTCTCAGTGAAACTCAAATTTTGTAGCTGTGGTGGGACCTCTCCAAGCCATAGACCATTTGCCAGACTGTCTGCAGGGGTGCGGCCTTCCTTTAGTTCTGATAAGCAGCCCTTGCATACATCCTTACAGCTGGGAAGAAGAATAGGACCGGGCATCTCAAGTATTGGGTCTGCTACCTTCAGCCGCTCACACCTAGTAATTGTATCATTGCTGTGCAGAAGATTTTCATCATATTCTTCATCAGATATAGGTGATAGTAATTTTTGAGGCACCAACTGAGCACACACTGCACATGCTGACTCAATAAAATTGTTTGGAAAGATGTCTTTGGAAAATCCATCAATTACTTCTTCTATTAATTCACTGGATACAGGCCTTGGTGGAACTTGGGTGGAGAGGGCCATGGCTGGCAGGTCCGATTGATGAGAATGAATTTTTCAATGACATTGAATCAAACTGCCATTTGTTATTTGCTCTTTGGTATCTGTGCTATCTAAATAGGAGTAATATATACTCCTATGTAGTACAGAAATACTGCATGTCTTAGTGTCAAAAGCACTGCAACAACACATCACAATTTTCTGAGTGATTCACCCTATTGGTGTATGCAATTTCAGTGTATGCAATTTGGATATTAAAATATACTAGTATACCTGTTATAAACTGTTTACAGCCACTGCAGAAGTACATTAGCAGATGTGAGACAATAGTGTTCTTCACACAGTGCAGATGATTCATAAGCACTGATGTATATTATGTGCTATAACTGCACCACTTTCATCCAATCACAATATGCAGGACAATGTGAATCAATATTTTCTCACACATACAAACTATATCTGATCAATATTTCAGATGTATTTGTTTTCAAGCATCCAGTATTCCTTTCCACTTCATTTGTCACACTCAGCTATTGTTCCAAACTTATATTATCTGACCTCTGTGCCCAGCTAGGAAAGCCCCATGGGAATCAACATTGCTGTGCCCAAGCCTTGAATAAAGTGAAAATATTGGCTGACTGTATCATAGATGTAGTCTTATCCATGTTACATGACAGTCACTTGTTTCCTATAGTGAGCAGGGCTGATTCTCTAGCATTACAGGCTTCCTCTCAAGCTTAGGCAATTTACAGGTGTGAGTTTACTCATTACAGCCTATTGCTGATTTTTTGAGTTTGCCCAGGAAGACATTGATATTTGCAAGTGTCATGGCATAAAATGGATCAGATAGACTATGAACAAGCCCTTCAATGAATAGCCTGATCATACACTTTACATTGATGATATTTCAGATGCTTACACTATGCACTATCTTCAAAAGGCAACAGGGCAATGTTCAGCAGAGTGATAATTTTATTAGGCTTCTATTATTATCTGTATACTCTATCTTGTGTAACCATATTACCTGATCAGATTGCTAAATATAGTGCAACAGCCACATATTGGCTGTAATACTGCATTCATGATATTCTGAGCTCCTTCTAGGGTTATTTAATAATCATATAGACAACACCATTGAGTAGAGATCAAAATTCTGAACCTGGTGGTATATAACACTTGGGGGTAAGGCAATGATGTCATCAGGTCATGTGCCATGGGCGCTTTTCTCCGATAGTGGCACTGATAGGATTTTGTATAGTGTATAGTGGCTGCTGCACCGGCCACATCCTGATTGTTTCTGAATATATGTATTCTGTTCATCCATAGCTTCCTGGTGATATATATTGCATGACATATGGGCTAGTGGGGGCCAAGATATTGAGGCATTTGTGATGGGAACCAAACAAGACCATACTTGGTGGCAGGGGAGCCGTGCTCTGCGTTCCCCTGCCACCAAGTATGGTCTTGTTTGTTCTCAGCCACAGCTGCAACTCATTTTGCGCACTGTTGGCTCATTCCTCACCACAACTTAGGACATTTATACATCATTGGAAAGGTCTTTCCAATGTGTATCCAATGGTGGTACAATCATGGTTTTATATTGAGCATACAGGTTTTAATGCACCAAACACTAATTGTGGCTGAAGGCCATTGCTAGATTGTATGGACAATATCCAGTCTTTATGCTCCCTATTCTATGTATCCAGCTTCATTATTAGATTGCAAGACACTTTCACTATATAGGCCAGAAGATATGCTGGCAATGCATTAGAGAAACTGCATTATCTGGTACTGAACATCTATTTACCCCAATTTATACCTGAAAATGGCATCCTATTGACCTACCAACAGCACCATTGTGTAGACCTCAATTTTCTGAACCTGATAGTATATAACACTTCATATCATGCTCAGAAAGACACTGAGCTAGACCCACATTGATCCCCATTAGTGACAGATTGTGACACAAAGTCACTTATGGTGGGTTGTCTGGCTTGTAGCACCCACAGATGTGCCCAGAACATTATACAAACACCCCCATTGGATTCTCCTCATTCCTAGCTTTCTGGTGATATATAATAGTAGTATGTTTCACCATTTAATGGCCTATCAATGAGCATATTATGTTGAGCTGTGGCTGAAAACAAACAAAGCCAAAGCTAGTGGCACGACGACGCTAATCCGCGTCGGCGTGCCATTTGCTTTGGCTTTATTTGGCTCCAAACAGAGAGGTGTCAATATCTCAGCTCCCACTTGTCCAAATATGACATATCATATATCACCAGGAAGCTGTTGACAAGGTGAATGCATCTGTGCAAACAGATCAGGAATCTGGATACATGAGAATAAGATATCAACCAGATATATTCCTATTAGTGCCACAATTGGCAATAAGCGCTAGTGGCCTAGCATATTTACTAAATGGTCAATTATTGTATACCACTGGACTCAGAATATTGATCTCTATTCAATGGTGATGCTATAGCTCTAGTCTACCTACACAATAGATGTTATACCTCAATATATTGGGTTTTAAACCATCCAGGAGCAGTATTGGCCTACAAAGTGGTATAAAATGTACTAAATCGCGTTTTATGCAGTAATATGCTTACCAATAAATGCTGATATATATGCCATTGGGAACTGCAAGCTGAGCTCTACCTGATGGTGCTGGTTTTGGAGGTTTATACATTTTAAATGGGCCATAAATCGATAATGAATGTGATTTAAAGAAGGCTTTGCAGGGCTTGATCCTATGGGCAAATATGCACTCAAAGGCGATTTGGTGAAGTCCGATGGGCGCTAGTAGTCCCCACTAGGCCAGCGCGGACTACTAGCGCCCATGGTATTTAAAAACATTTTTTGAAAAGCAGTCGCTTTTTGGCAGTATTTCCCTCGCTGTTTCACCAGTTCTTATCCATATAGCGCATATCATATATCATCAGCAAGCCCTTCACACGCTCTACATGATGGTGCCAATGTGGTTTTTATTTGATCTAAATTAGTCTATCAATCAAGGAAATACCTGATTTTTGGCCTTCTGATGATGACAATTCCTGTACTACTTCACTAGTTCTCATCCATATAGTACACATCATGCACCATCAGAAAGCTATTCACATGCTGTACAATATGGTGCTGTCATGGTTTCCATTTGTTCCAAATTGCACAAGCTAGGATGCATACATCAGTTGATGCATCAATCACTCTAGTGAGTGCCAATGGTAGATGACATACAAAACAGATATGATGCTCTATGTTAGCACATAATACCTCAAGTGATAGCTGACTAGCCTCTCTTAGTGGCCTATGGCATACAAATACTACTACCAGATCATAGCTATGAAAGGAACAAGGGTATAGTAAAGTACACTATATCATGTCTTATGGGTCTGTTTTGACACAATGTATAGCCTATAGGCATAGTGGGCAGTGAGCGGCACATGTGCTGTGCAACCTAGGGTTACACAAGCGCCCAGGGAGAGGCATAACATATGGTAAGACATTTGATTAGTTTAGATCTAAGGGTAACCCTAAGCTGTGCTATTGGGATCCAACCCTAACCCTGTGAACATTACAAAATTTTGTATGTGGCGCCTATCAGAAAGCTAATGATGAGTAAGCAATTTTCTCCCACGGGGTCAGATTGGCGTCACGCAAGTTGGCAGGAAGCTCACCCCATAAGAAACGATTTCTTCGTTCCTCATCAATCGTAAA